TCCTGCCATAAACACCTCCTGTTAAAGCCTGGCTGCCATTCCACATACACCAAGGAAAAGAGCAACTGCTACCGACCTGCTTCCTAACCCTCTCATATGCCTTCGCGGAGTGACTCCTGTCCTTTCTTCACCATCCTGACCCCATTGGTTTTGTCCCCTTCCCTTTTAGTAAGTCATATCTGTATTGAAATGTCTGTTTTGGGGGGCCAGAAAAATACTCTTAGCTATACCAAGAGATCCCCCAGCTGCTGAGTTCTGTAAAATAATACTGGCTTTGGGAAGCATTGAGTGTCCTGACTGCACGCAGCATCTTATCAGGCTTTCCTGAAAGGCTTATGTTAACTAATGATATTACCATCATTTTTATGCCACTGTATGTGTGCCAGCACTGGACAGTAATGGAGGGTGTGGAGAGATCACCGGGAGGAAAGTGAAGCAGGAAGGGGGGTGAGGAAGCAGAGAGGAGAGGAGAAGTGCCAGGCCCTGGGGGAGCCTTGGGTGAACCAGGCACAGGTCACAGCAGAAAGGACAAAGCCAGCAGTAGGAAACAGAGATCAAAGGGTCAGGGAGAGGAGAGACCTGGTGGCACTGGGGTGCGGGAGGGACGAAGAGGCAGAAAAGGACATGGGCAGAGGTGAAAACAGAGGAGTTTGATTTGACTGTGTTTAAAAACCCAACAAGACGTTAAGGGATTCAGATGGGGAATGGGTAGAGGATTCCCAGCAGTGTAAGAAAAGGATGTAACCAGTACATGTGATGGAGCCAAGCACAAAACCCTCGGGCATGAAGACTTCAAAGTCCAGACCCCAGATTTTGGTATCTTGGTGCTCAGTCTGCCCTCATTACTAGGGGTGTTTGCCAGTGCTTTCCTCTGTGAGCTGGCCCTTTCCAAACGGAGGAGACAAGCAGCCCCATTGCGAGGCGTGTCCCCTGCCCTGCCCGTTGCAGGATGCACCCTCTTCCTAGGCGCTACCTGTGTCTGCTTCATGAGGATCTGGCCCATCTTCCCAGTCCCTTCCACTGAAGGGCGGGTGTTTGAGAGCCGTTTCATAGGGCAGAGGGGAGGCGAGGGGAAGATGAGAGCATCAAAGGGGAAGTGTTAGCTATGTTGATGTGCAATTAGATCTGTGGCTGCTGGTCTTTCCCTCATTTCAGTGTTGTGAGAGCATGAGAAAAACCCAGCTCATGTACAGAGCTAACTCCAGCCTCGGGGTAGCCCGGCTGACGTTGGTGGAGTTGCCTGAGGGTTGAATTTGGCTGCCCCTCCTGCCTGGCGGTGTCTGTTCAGCCGCAAAAGGCCATTAGACTGCTAGGAAATTCCATCCCTGGAGCAATATCCCTCGGAAAAAAGACTAGAATAATTAGTGCTTGGAAATTCACAGGTCTTTACTAGCAGCGTGTGCAGCACATGATGATTCATGGCCCCTGGGAATTGATGTGATCTCCTCCAGGCTGAGATTCTGTCCTGGTATTTCCCAATGTGGGGAAAGCAGGATCTGCAGCCCAGCTGATACTCGAACTGAGGCCACGGTTGAGACATCTGCACTAATGCATGTTTGTTCCCAGCGTGGGTCCTGTAAGGCTGCCCCGTGTCTGTCCAAAAGCCACGTCGTGCAGCTGTGCTGTGGATGCCCTGCCAGGAGGTGAAATGGAGCTAGCTAAGCTATTTGCCAGGGTCCGTGTTCAATGTAAGCACGCTGCTCTGGCAAAGCTGCAGCAAAGATGGTCCGGCAACACCTTCACAACACTATTACCTCCCCGCAACTACGTGGCACTTGGTTGGTGTCTGCAGAGCTATTGGGCTTGCGTCGGCCGGAAATCTGGGCCGCTCTCCCATCCTGCCCAGCTGCAGAAGCCCCAGGCAAAGGATGGGTTAGGAAGTGGATAGGATAACACCATTTGAACCCCAAGCTATAGACTCAGCACTGCCTGTGTACCCAGGTGGTTCATTAATAATGTTTAGTATTTAGCAATAAAGCTGAGGCACCGTCGGTTTGGGTTGTAGTGTGGGCTAGCCCTACGGGAGTAGGGACTGGAGAGAGGCTTACCGGGCCCCAACACAGCCACATGTATGAGTGTGCATTTAGGAGTGCAGAAGAGAAGTGGTCACAGAAAAGCCTCTACTGACTTATGATTAAGATGCAGCTGCACCAAGAACATGCAACCAGGAGGAGCTCGGTTTCACTTTGGGAGGGCTCTGTTAAAAACCACGCAGCTTCCCATGCCTAGTACTGCACGTAGTGACGTAGCACCTTCTACCGTCTACGTCCGCAGTGACGTGGAGCCGTTAGCACCATTTCTGTAGAATAAAGCCACTGTTTCCCTGATCAGAGAATGCGGCAGGACAAGTTTTACTTACAGGCTTGATCTTTGTTCCAGGCATAGCAGGATATGGGATCTGTCCCAAAGCTATGCAAGGATGTGTCCTAACGCACAGGGCTGGAAGGTGACAAAAGCCGGTGAAATAGCACCCAAATGCCATTTTAGAAACAACCATTTGCAGCGCAGGGAAACTTGCAGGAGTTTTCAGTTAAATGAGAAAAAAAATGACCTGAGAGAGTCCACGGTGTGTGCATAGTTGATCCACCGTTTGTAATCTACTCCACGGTGTGTGCATAGTTGATCCACTGCTTGTAATTTACTCCACGGTGTGTGCATATTTGATCCACCGCTTGTAATCTACTCCACGGTGTGTGCATAGTTGATCCACCGCTTGTAATCTACTCCACGGTGTGCGCACATTTGATCCACCGCTTGTAATCTACTCCACGGTGTGCGCACATTTGATCCACCGTTTGTAATCTACTCCACGGTGTGTGCATATTTGATCCACCGCTTGTAATCTACTCCACGGTGTGTGCATAGTTGATCCACCGCTTGTAATCTACTCCACGGTGTGCGCACATTTGATCCACCGCTTGTAATCTACTCCACGGTGTGCGCACATTTGATCCACCGCTTGTAATCTACTCCACGGTGTGCGCACATTTGATCCACTGCTTGTAACCTATTTCATGGTGTGTGCATATTTGATCCACTGCTTGTAATCTACTCCACGGTGTGTGCATAGTTGATCCACCGCTTGTAATCTACTCCGTGGTGTGTGCATATTTGATCCACTGCTTGTAACCTATTTCATGGTGTGTGCATATTTGATCCACCGTTTGTAATCTACTCCACGGTGTGTGCATAGTTGATCCACCGCTTGTAATCTACTCTGCGGTGTGTGCATATTTGATCCACTGCTTGTAATCTACTGCACGGTGTGTGCATATTTGATCCACTGCTTGTAATCTACTCCACAGTGTGCACATATTTGATCCACCGCTTGTAATCTACTCCACGGTGTGTGCATATTTGATCCACTGCTTGTAATCTACTCCACAGTGTGCACATATTTGATTCACCGCTTGTAATCTACTCCACGGTGTGTGCATATTTGATCCACTGCTTGTAATCTATTCTAATGGCACCAACCTTAATGACACCTCTGAACTAATGAACTTGAACTCTGAAGATCAAACTTTAGCTTTGGCTCGATGCTTGAAGCTGCTAGAGCTCTCATGCGGTTTCCGTACAGTGTCTCACTGACCTAATCCGAGCGAGACCTGGGTCTGCACTTGCCCCGACTTCCAGAGATCTGAATCCAGGGGTCTCTTTATCACCTGTCAGCAACACCTGGAAACAGGTCGGCACCGGTGCTCTCGAGCAGCCCCATGGAAACAGGGTCTGAGAAGCAATAGCAAAAGCATTAAAAAAAAAATTAGGGATTTCGTGCAACTGCGAATCTTGGGGCATTTCGATTTGTCGGGCGCAACACTTGTCTTGTCAACGGGGCTAAATCGGGGAAATGTTCTTTTCGACCTTCCCGGGAGCAATGAGAACAGGCGCGTGATATGGGATCGTGAGACCGAGGGCTCAAAGTCCCCGTCTGTTCTTCTTAGCGTTGTCTTAGCGCCAGGCTGCAGCTCGCTTGAGGACCCAGGTGATTTTTGGGAGGCTTTAATGATCCAGAGTCGGACGCTTTCAGCCAGAAACAACACCCGAAACCCTCTTTGTTTGAAAAGCAGCCGTGAAATCGGTGCCGTTGTCTTACACGGGCTTTCGAAATATCCCCAAAAGGGTCTGCAAATATCTGAAGCCCCGGCTGGGGGCGGAGGAGGTTTGCCGGTGGATTTGGACTCGATTTTTGGGCCGGGAACCCGAAAAATTGAAGCTCCACGGGCAAAACCAGATCCCATCCAGGCGGAAACGCCGTCTTGTGCCGGCGCCGAGGCTGCGAACGGCGTGCGAAAACCCCCTGCATATTCCCAGCCCCGTTTGGGGTCGGGGAGCTCTTTAAATAACCGTCAGGGCTGCGTTTTCTTATGTCTTGGCTACACACGAGGTCCGGGGGGCACCCAGCCCCAGCCCCAGCCTGAGGGGGTGTTATCATGTGCAGGCCTCAGTTTTCCCATCTGGGGAATGGGTGCATGCCCCTGGGCGGGGTCTCATAGAGGCCGCTCCTCCCCCTCCCCCCTTTGCGACGGGAGGTTGCCCTTTAAAGGGAGGAGAGGAAGGGCGAGGCTTAAAGGGGAGGTGCGAGGGTGTCCCCTTTAAGGTTGCCGGGGCGACGCCCGCAGTGAGAGCGAGGCGCATTGACGTCAGCGCCGGCGGTGATTGGCCG